CTGATAACTGTCAGACGGCCCTGGCCCCCTCTCTGCCTCCGACACAGAGCCCTCGTCCGAGCCTTCCCCAGAATCCAGGACTGGCCCATCTTCCTCCCCAACCTCCTCACTGTCTGAATCTGCAGCCAGCTTTGCTGGCCGCTGGCGGGCCATAACAGCATGTTGCCTGTTCACACTGGGTAGACCGGACCGAAGCGACGTGGCCTGGCCCCTTACATTTTGCTGGACAGCACCGCAGGCTGAATCCGACTACATTGCTGGCCAGATTCAGCCCGCAGGCCTTGTGGGTCAACCTGTAAAGCGTCTCCATGACTATCACCAAGTTGTCATGGGAGGGAGAATTCCATGCATACCTTCGACCAGAGTTGGATCTCAGATTTCTACAGCCGGCACGTGAGGCGCAAAGTTCACAGCCTGCTGCAGCACCTGGTTGGTGGATATGATTTATGACACAGACTGAGGGGAGGGGAGACAAGGGGTACAGTTCAGACACCATTAACCGGAAATCAGTTTCGGCTCCGCAGAAGAACATGCCATAATGTTGCTCCTAATAAACGACTGGATTTCTTTTGAACTTTGTCTCGAGGCTCGTAAATTAATTAGGTCATCCTTTGGAAACGTCACATTGTGTTTGACACCCCTGCCCAACGTATTTTCCTCACGTATTTTCGTCTCCCTTTCCCCAGACAATCCCGCAGTATTCGGTGGCCTGCCATTCCACCTCCAACGTGGTGGTCGAGCCCAGCGGTCTTCTGGAGATGAACAACTTCACCAGTCAACGCCTTGACGAGGAAGACACCGTCATGGAGCAGGACATGGACAGCAGCAACGAAGACGGGACGGAGCCCAGCCCGACGCAGAGTTCAGGACAGACCTAGCGCGATTCGGGAAGTTGCGATGCACTTTAAGGCAACCGCCGAAGGCCCGCCTGGCTGTTGGTTTTCCGGAAAGCTCTTATCTCAGTTGTAAGAAGCACTTTGTATGTCCGAGGTCTTCGAGCAGGCTGACGTCCAGCCTCGTTCACGGCAACAGTATTGGGGAGACCAGGGTTGCAAAACGGTTTGGGCGAGCGAGGCCCCCCACGTCCGCCCTGTGGCAACCCGGCGACAGTAGAATGTATTTTCATTGAAGGCAAGAAAGCAAAAAGGACACGCAGTGATTTTTTTATTATATTATTATTATTATTATTATTATTTTTCCCATGATGGTATATTGAAGTTTCGTTTGCTACGATATCCTGGATTTTCTATTGGAATATTGTGGTGGTTTTTTATTTTTAAAGAAAAAAGGAAACGGCAACAGCCACCAAACTAACATTCTCTATTCTCTCCCGAAGCCACGAACCAGAGTTTGCCGGTGAACGCGTTTTCATCAAAAAGAGTGATTTTGTTTTTAAAGGTATAGCTTGTTTCTCTTAAAATTGATCATAGGAAACGTTCAGACATGCTGTTTTACGCAGGGAGGGAGAAGCAGAGAAAGACGCTGCTTCTCGCCTTTTTTGTTTCCAAGTAAATTTTGAAGTATCAGCTTTTAAAACAAAATGGAAATCAATTTCAAAATATTATCCTTCGAAACGAAATGGAAGTCAATTTCAAAATATCCTTTGAAACAAAACGAAAGTCTAATTCAAAATATTAGCTTTTAAAACGAAACGGAAATCAATTTCAAAATATTATCCTTTGAAACGAAACAGAAGTCAATTTCAAAATATCCTTTAAAACAAAACGAAAGTCAATTTCAAAATATTAGCTTTTAAAACGAAACGGAAGTCAATTTCAAAATATCCTTTAAAACAAAACGAAAGTCAATTTCAAAATATCCTTTGAAACAAAACGAAAGTCTAATTCAAAATATTAGCTTTTAAAACAAAACGAAAGTTAATTTCAAAATATTATCCTTTGAAACGAAACGGAAGTCAATTTCAAAGTATCCTTTGAAACAAAACGGAAGTCAATTTCAAAATATCTTTTAAAACAAAACGGAAGTCAATTTCAAAATATCTTTTAAAACAAAACGGAAGTCAATTTCAAAATATC